TTTCCAAAGAATAGAAAAATGAGAGAAAAATGAACGAAAAATTTAACTTATGTTTCATTCATATTTCAATCACAATTTTTTTTTTTTTGTCTTTTCCAAGTCCTACCCAATTCTAAAATTCAAACACAATTTTAGGAAAAGTTCAATAACCTGTATATATTTGGACCTTAGATTTATAAGGGGAAAAAATGAAAAGAAAATGACAAAAATAAATTTAACTTCTTTCCTTTCATTTTCTTTTTATCTTCTCCTTTTCCTTTCATTTACAAATTTATAATCCAAACAAAACACAAAAGTCTAAAGCAAAAACACAAAATATACAAAATTTATGGAATTGCTCTTGCTCCAAAAAAAGAGTAGAGGCTCAAGTTCATATAAGAGAACTTAAGGGGCTCTATTAGAGGTTTCCGTTTCGATAATTAAAACGGTTTATTTTGTAAGCCCTCCATATATACTATCCATAAAAAAAAATTAAATCAATCGGATAATAATAACTTTTTCATTTTAGGATTAATTACCTAAAAGTCCTATCTACATATTTATCAAAAAGTTTTTGAATAAATAAGTCCCATTTAGAGGTAAAAAGACGTTTTGTCTTTAATCCCAAAACTGAGAATGTTCTCAATTTCAAAACTAAGAATGTTTCAATTTATAATTATCAAAAATTAAGAAATTTCTCAATTTTTTTTTTCTGGTATGAACTGAAAATATTATCAAAATTAGGAAATTTATAATTATCAATTTTGATAAATTTCTCAATTTTTTTCATGATTAAAATTGAAAATATTATAAACTCAGAAGGTTCTCAATTTCAAAAAACCCGAGATCACACCTATAAACAGAGCACCTTGTTGTTCTGTCTCTCAAAAGCCAAGCGCTAAGAAAAGTTTCTTCTATGTCAGAGCTTCCTCTCTCCATGATTTGGTCACCATTGTTGTACCAAATAAAATTGGTTCTTTCTCTCCTGTTTAGTCTTGATGCCTTCCATTCCATGTCACTCCATCATAGTTCCATAGAGAGAGAGAGAGAGAGAGAATGACGGTATTTGGGAACACCGGTGAGGGATTTATCGGTGGCGGCAAGCAAGTACTTCCGGTAGATTACCAAGCGGAGGTCTCGCAACGACTCGTCGACGCTGCACATTCCGACGATCTCAACTCTGCGATGGAATGCATTGTAGACCCCTTCGTCGATGTCAAATTCATCGTAACCGTGAGCTTGAAGACTCAAAAAACAGAGATCGTGTTACGACAGTGATCGACCCAAAAATACGACAGTGGAGGTAGATCTATTCAGAGACAGATCAACAACAACCTCAACCTCACGCATGAGCCACTCGCGGATTTGAGTTCTTCATCTTCATCGACGACGACGACACGGCAGATCTGAGTAGGGGAAGGAGGCGGTGGTTCTAGTGGCAGAGCTAGATTTCCAACAACAGAGCTCCGTCGAGGACGTCGACGGAGAACTTGAACAGTTTGCCTAGAGTTTGTTGGAAGGGTAAATTGGTCTATTAAAAATTAATGGGATCTGAAGGAGCAAATAATTTTATCTAGAACTTAGTGGATTATAAATTCACAAAATGAGACTTGTATGTAAATGGCCCTTCATTTTATTGTGTTTCTATCTATTTTTAAAAACAAGGTTCATTTTTTTTTTTTGAGATAAACATGATAAAATAGAAAAATTATAATTATTGAATCAATTTAAATTTTTTTATAAGTAATTTACACTAAAATCTCGTTTGGGAATAGACTATTTTAATAATTTTTTGACTTTTTACGAAAAGATGAGTAGAAAAGTAGAGAGAATGATGTGATAACTTAAAGTGATTTTTTGACTTTTTAATGAAAATAATTACTCCATAAATGAGACGCAAATATCTTATAAAATAAATAATTTGGATAATCATTACAAATTAATCTCAATTCATTAGTCTCTTGCCCCTTAACTAAAGGATATAAGGACAAGCTAGCCATAATTTGATATTTGCCATTTTGTATCGCTTGCGGTTTGGATCAACATCAAGTCATGTGGCCCTTAACTAAAGGACGTAAGGACAAGCTAGCCATAATTTGAAATTTGCCTTTTTGTGAGAAATTCTAACATACAGCCTTTTAAAAAATATATATTTTTAATTATGTTATTTTTTTATAATTATGATCAATTTTATTTTTTAATTTGTGATTCATAAGTTTTTAAATTATGTCTCCTATTGTGTTATTTAGTTACAATATTTTTTTTTAGTTATGATTTAGAAAATTAAAATTATACCATTTTTTTTTAAATTATAAGGTACATAAGTGTTTCCTCATTTTGTATTGCTTGTGGTTTGGATTAAGGAATTGAAGAGAAATTTGTGAAAGAACAAGAAAAAAGTGAATGAAATAGAAGTTTTTTTTTTTTGGTTACTTTTCTCCTCTCTTTCATTTTATATCTGTTTTAAATTTTTGATCCAAACATAAAAATGCATGCTTCAGAAAGGGGGACAAATATAAATAATCCTACAAGCAGACAGACCAATCAATTTTCAGAAGGGATATTTTCCAAACAGGGATGGTCAGCAGGCAAGAAGATGTAATCATATGTTGTTGGAGTTCCGATCTTAAGGACTCGTTTGGGAACATACTAATTTAGTAATTTTTTAATTATTTAGCTAAAATATGAACTAAAAAAAACTAGTATGTTTGAGATGATTTTTTAATTTTTTACGAAAAGATGTGCAAAAAGTAGAGAGAAAATAAAATCTTTGACTTTTTGGTATGGATTGTTGACTTTTTGGCCAATTTAATAATTTTTTGACTTTTTAATTAAAAGAGAAGGTTTCCAAACGAGGCTTAATTAGTTGTATACGTGTTATTTTTTTTAAAAAATATTTAATGATACAATATATATTATAAAAGAACAATTTTAATTTTAATTTAAAATTAAAATTATAGTATGATTTTAATTATTTATTTTGATAATATTGAAGCTATTGTTCTATCAAAATATTACTTGAATACTAATATATATATTAATTTTAGTTAAGCTATTTGTGTATTTTGATAATTTTAATTCTATCGTACTATAAAAGTGTAATTATCATATAATAATTTTATATGATATATATTAAATTATAAAATAGTAAAATAGGTTTTTGGGTTTTTTTGGCTATTTTAGCCACAAAAAACAAAATAGGCTATTTTAGCCATAACAAACAAAACATCACATCCAACTCATAATCATTACACTCTTCTCTCACAAAAAAAGTCAAAAAAGCCAAAAAGCCCTTGCCAAACCAAGCTTTTTAGCCCAGGCTAAAATAGCCAAAAAAGCCAAAAAGCCAAAAAGCCAAAAAGCCAACCCACTTCCCAAACGGAGGTATAGAATTACTATATAATTTAAACGATAAATCCATAATACAAAATTAGTATTGGGTATAGAATAATGCACGGAAAAATAAAAGAAAAAAGAAAGGAAATTTAGCATTAAAAAAAAATCCTAATACCCTTGAAAGAAATAAGAATAAAAACGGAAAACGCAAAATTGATATTGAGTTTGTAGATTATCTCAATTTATCATGAAAAATATATAAAAAAGAATTATTTGTCAAATAGAGTCCATATAAAATAGGTAAAATTAGTATAATTTAAATTAAATTTGAGTTTGTGTAAAATTCTATATTTAATTAAGAAAATACATGCTGGCGTGACTCTCTTGAAAAAAAGTAAGGCCTTATAAAAATAAGTCAGTATAGTTAGATTACAACTAAAGGGCCGCCATTGCTCTATCAACTTGAACCCTTGACCTTCCATTCACTATACTCTAAGGTGTAACTACTAGACCATTGGGCCACACCCCGATGTCTTCAACAAAAAAAATTAAAAAAAAAAAAAATTCAAAGAATAGAAACAAGTTTCTTTTGGGTGGGTGAATAGAAACAAGTTTGATCAAAATAAACAAACAAAAATATATTTAAAATTTTCAAAAATTGTTTTTTTCTTCAAAAAAGAGAAAACAGAATTATATAATTTTCTTGAAAAAAGAAAATTATGAGTCTTTTAAACTAATTTTTTCATTTTATTCTCCAAACTAGTTAAAATTAAACAAAACTGGATCAAATGCTTTTTCAGGAATATTGGGACTGCATCGGCTGTAGAAGCAAAATTTTGGGCTCTTCGGGATGGCGATTGGCCTCGGAGCTGGATCTTAAAGGAATTCAAGTAGAAACTGATGCTCAAATAATTACTATCATGCAAAACTCATCCGAAAATCATCGTCTTAGCAATCTTATCTCTGATTTCAGGTACCTTATGAGTCAACTGGAGGTAGCAGCTGTTGAGCATATCTACCGAGAAGCCAACAAGTGCGCGGATATATTAGCAAATCAAGGCAGTGTTGCCATGGAGGGACTGCATTTTTGTATCGCTTTTCCTTCTTGTACTGCATCCCAATTGTATGATGATGCTAGGAGTATTTCTTACCCTAAAACCTTTACTATCTAATATATGATCAGCTTCGTACCTAAAAAAAAAAAAAATTAAAAAAAAGAATAATTTGAATTTAGATATCATACTTCAACTATGGATTTCAAGATTGATTTGAGAATTTTAACATGATAAATTATGATGAATTTGAAATAACAATGAAAAAGTAGTTATTCGAAATCCTTCACGTTAGAGATTATTGATGAACAAAGATAATATTAAAATATTTCTCTTCGAACTCTACTCTATTTTCACCTTTAGTTTCTCTATCTATAATAATAGCCAATCTCCTATATTTTCATGAAGTTAAACCTCAAATATTCTCATTTCAAATCCATTTATCCAAACAGAATCTACAGTTAGTCATTCATATATACAATAATTCAAAAATGGAATATCCATTCCTACAGTTTCTTCTTCCAGGACAAAGGATATCCAAATTACAAAATCCAGTTCTCATGAGCTTATAAATTTGACTTAAACACAACGCAACAGACAAGCTCGAACCCATGTTTAAACAGTCACCTCTCATCATTGGACCAATCTTTCAGTACATTTTATTAAGGTCATAGCGACCAATGTAATTTTCAGATATCGTACACAACAGCCCTCCCACAACATTCTTCATACCAAATTTACATTATAGGCTAAATATCAGTTACAACTTACAAGAAGGGAGGATATGAAGGTAAATACCTGAAGTAGACGTTTTTCCTAGAACAACTCGAAGTCTAGGTGCTCCCCTGCAGCCCCACACTCCAGATACTTCCCCCACATCTCCTGAGATGCCACATTTACAATTCCAACATCACAGAAATCAGGCAGTTGAGGTGGAATGGCACAACGTATCAGCGCCCAATTCAAGCCATCAAAGAAGGGGTGTTGCTTGATCTCAGCTGCCCCTCTCTCTGATCCCAACCGATTCTCTGGCTCCTTTACTAACAGCCCTTGGATGAGATCCCTAGCCTGGAAACTAACCAGTGGGCTTTCTGGAAACATGAGTGTCTGCAACACCACATTAGCTAACGTCTCTTCGTTCCCAGAACCTTTAAAGGGTGTTCTACCATATAAAAGCTCATAAAGAAAGATACCAAACGTCCACCAATCAACAGCACTCCCATGACCCTCTCCTTTGATGATCTCAGGAGCCAAGTACTCATGGGTCCCAACAAAGGAGTTAGATCGAGCATCTGTCGGCTCAGCCACAAGCTGTGGCAATGATCTGACCTTGGCTGCATGTTCGGCTTTTACTTTCCTTGCTTTTGCAGCGGCAGGTAAAAGCCTAGGGCTGAAGCATGCAACTTGATAGGATGGTTCCATGCAGAAAGGATCGATGCAGCTGGACCCTGTGCATGGACCTGACATCTTTGGGGGATCCATACTCAATGAAGATGATTTCAGAAGCGTTGGGCTTACAGTGCACCTAAGCGACAGGTCAAAATCTGTAAGCATGATGTGACCATCTTCTCGGACCAGAATGTTTTCTGGTTTCAAATCGCGATAGATAACTCCAAGCATATGCAAATACTCCAAAGCAAGGAGGACTTCTGCTACATAAAACCTGAAAATGCAACGTGGATTAATCAGTTTAAAGATTAATCAATAAGCAAAACAAATGAAAAGAAAAGAATTCCTATGAATGCTTAAATTTATTTAGATTTAGATCCCATCACCTATTTTAATTATGAAACAAGAATGAAGAGATCATTCGTGTTGGAGAAAGGGGGACAAAATTGATTTCAGGGCAGAAGTTTAAATGCTATGCTTGAGCATGTAATGGTTATCTGTAATAGTTTGATCAGATTTGTTTTTGTTTTAGAGATAATTAAAACTGAGTAACCATTGACCACTCTGAACCCATCTATTTGGTTATTAAATTTGAATAAGATTACACAAAATAAGATTGATACAACAAATTATAAATACTAAAATGGTTTAATGCAATGCAAATTACTAAAAAGACAACTGTCAAAGATTTCACGGCTAGAATTTCTGTACATGAACCTAGGTCATGCAATCAATGAACACCACCAAAAAATAGCCAAATAGTTGTGCCTCATAACCAGAAGTAAAAAGAAGCTAGGAATAATCATATATAGGCCTCGGTTTGATTGAGCCATGAATTCAACATCCATGATGGCCCTTTACAAAAATAAAAATAAATCAGTGCTAATTATAGATCTAGAAAGTCCATCTCTCATAAGCTTCTCCTGTCTAAGAGGATCTTTTTTTAAGGGTAGATTGCACAAATGGTCCCAAAAGTATAGCATCTATTTCATTTTAGTCCCTAATTTTTAATTTGTATCAATTGCATTCTTAAACTTAACACATTAATTCAACATAGTCACTCCCACTAATTGTCGTCTAAAAAACATATGAAAAATGCTTGCATCAGCCTTACATCAAGTATCGAAATGCAGTAAGGACATTTTAACACATCTACTTATGCAAAATACTATCAATTAAAGAACCAGACACACTATGAAAGGCCTGGAGTGCCTTTCACAACGTTTCACAGTTCATTTAGGCGGGAAATAAGATAGATTTCTCCTAACACCCTTCAAATACTTGGTGTGAGACAGATGTAAGCATTTTTCGTATGTGTTTTAGACAACAATTAGGGGAAGGACTACATTGAATTAATGTGTGAAGTTCAAGGATACAATTGATATAAATTAAAGATTAGGGACCAAAATGAAATAGGTGCTATACTTTAGAGACCATTTGTGAAATTTACCCTTTTTCTAATCTTAACCAACCCCTTTCATCAATTAAATTTAGGGTAACCTGAGCAAAGTTTTACTTTGGTTCTTGTGGTTTCAATTTAAACAATTTGAACCTTACACTTTTAGTTTTATCGCAATGTGGTCCTTCCATCATTTATTGTTAGAATTTTGAATGGAAAAAGATTACGTTCAAAATTAAAGGGACCAAAGCGGTATTCAAAAGAAACTATAGGGACCTCCGGTGTAATTTATTCATTACAACAGTAGTCCCTATAGTTTCTTTTGAATTGCACTTTGGTCCTTCTAGTTTTGCAGGTGGTCTTTTTCTGTTTAAAACGTTAACGACACATAATGGAGAGACCACATTGCAACAAAATTGCAAGGGTAAGGTTCAAATTGAAACTACAAGGACTAATAGTGTAATTCATCCTTAAATTTAATAGCAGAGTCCACTCTATGGCCATTTGGGCGTATCTCATGTTAGATGTTCCTATCATTTCAAGTTAGGAAGCTAATTTAAAAAGCAAGGAAACATTTGAAACTGGTAATGAACATCAATACAACATTTGAAACTGATGGTGAACACATTTGATGAGCTTATGATGGGGTTAACTGTAGGTAATACTTGACCAGAGGTCAAAAGGGTTATTAAGAAGTAGAACCACAGGTCACAGATGTCAAGGAAAAACGGAGGGTTCGTTTGGTTTGTATTTCTGAAAAATTTTTGGGAAATTTTCTCTACAAATAAGTTTTTAAAAGTAATTAAACTAAACAAATTTTTCCAAAAAAATTTCTCAAAACTTGTAAACCAAATAAGTTTTCCAAACAAATCTCTCTCACACACACATCAAATCAATCACTTTTTCTAAAACTCTCTCTCAAAATAATTTTCCAAAACATCTTTTGAAAAAAACCAAACCAAACAACTTTTCGTACTATTTATCTCTAAAACAAATCTCTCAAACACAAACCAAACATACCCGGAATGTTCGGGTGAGAGACCTTTTTTTATGAAAGGAATTTTCCGTTAATAAAGTCATTGAGATCAATTGGATCAGATTAATGTTCTTATTCTCAAACTAAATGAAGCCATATTCCTGCCTATTGCTCTGTGTTTTTATGTTCTTAGTTTCTTATCATATTTCCATTTTGTTGGATAAATATTGTAAGAATATGCAAAGTGAATGCCGTTTTCTATTTCAGAGTGGCATTCTTGCTTCATTTGCCACAAGAGCTCAAAATTCCATTGCTTTTGCTGTCCAAAAGCTGTGTGCCAATGCTGCATCGCTGCTGCTGAGTTTGCACGTGTTAGAAGGAACAAAGGATTCTGCAGTCACTGCTTAAAACTTGCACTTCTTCGAGAAGAGAACATGGATGTTGACTCTGATGGGGTATAATACTATCTAAGAAGACCTGCAAATTACATTCTCAAAATTCTGTCACTTATCCTTTGCATTGCAAAATGATTTCTTTCTTGGTTAGTAAGTTCTTTTATTTGGTGTGGGATCATCTCTTTTTTTGAACATAGAAACCCCTTGATAGAAATCTCTACAACTTATTATATTTCAAAAGGTAGCTACTATGTAGCACGGACACGGACACGGACACGACACGGACACGTAAAAACGCAAATTTTTAAAAAATAGGGGACACGACACGCTGGGGACACGTTTAATATATATAATTTTTTATATATATTATATGTAAAATTAAAAAATATATACTATTTTTATTCATTTATTTTATTTATTATATGTAAAATTAAAAAATAAATATATTATTTGTATTTATTTATATTATTTATTTACAAAAAAAAAAGGTATAAAAAAGAAAAAAGAATAAAAGAATAAAAGAGGGAGTGACGGTAATAAAGGAAGAGGGGAGAAAAAGTGAAGAGAGTCAAACAAAAAAAATGGGAAAGAGGAAGAGGCGAGAACAGAGAGCGAGGAAATGGGAGACGAGAGGAAGAGAACTCGATCAGAGACGACGATCAGAGAGCGAGAGGCGAGAACAGAGAGAGAGGAGATGACGATGAGAGACGAACACAGAGAGAGAGGAGACGAACAGAGACGCGAAAGAAATACCTCGATCAGAGACGAAGAGGCCTCGATCTAGGCTTCAACAGGTTCTTCCTCTTTCTCTCTTTCTCTTTCTCTCTCTCTCTCTCTATCTCTCTATCTTCAATGGGTTAGGGTTTCTCTGTCTCCTGGTTAGGGTTTATTTCTGTTTCCAACGTGTCCACGACGTGTCAAGCGTGTCTAAAAGAGTGTCCGCCTGCAAAAATTCAAAAAAAAAACAAGGAAAGGACACGTTAGGTCGAGTGTCACGTGTCCGACGCGTGTCCGTGTCCGACACGTGTCCGACACCCATACGCTGCCTCCAGAGACGTGTCCATGCTTCATAGACTAGCGCAGTTAATCCTACTGCAGGCATGGAGCTCCCACAGTATAAACACACTGTGGTGAGTTATAGTTAAACAAGTCGTCCGGATCGCATAGTTTGAGCATCATTCCAGCCATCATAGATTCCCTGGTGGGACAAGTCTTCTTTCCTAAGTAAGTCACTTAGACAAGTGTCTTCATAAAGTATGGACACGAGTGGGCCAGATGTTAATCTTTAATCTGACAAGCACACAAACTTAATAGGCCATATGTGCAACTCATGTGAAGAGATCAGAGATATCCATAGTGACAATGGTTTAACTCATATAGTGGCTTATTGTTGGAAGTACAAACTCAATTTGAGTTTGAAGAAGAAGCTGCCAGAAGATTAAAGAATAAAGAAGAAGAGTCCAAGTTGATGAAGACCTGAAGTTGCTAGAAGATGAGAGAACAAAGGGTGGGAGATTTCTAAAGAGAAGAGCGTTTAAGAGTTAACAGAGAGATAGCTCTGTTTTGTATAATTTGTTTGAGTTTGAATAAAAGGAGTGTATATTCAATTTAGTTCCTCTCTTTGTACATCTACACAACAGGTATACACCCCTCTCTTACCTCAACAGTGGTATCAGACTAGAAGAGCCAGTTTGGGCCAAAATTTCGAAGAAATAGAGGAGAAACAGAGAGTTTTCAAATTTTCCTAGCTTTCGAAGGTGTCGAAATCAATTTCTGAATATACAAGAGGGTTCGTGTCGACTAGAGGAGTCCAGAACCATTAACCAGAAGAGCCAAGAAGTATCTGAAGTTCGTCGATAAACGCGACATCCGGAAACAAAACTTTTCGAAGTTTTTGAAATCCATTTTTGAGTATAGAAGATTGAAGCACTCATCAAGAGGATTCTAATGCAAAAAATCGCGTTGAAATCAGAGCTGAAACAAAGCCGCAATTGCCGAATCAAAGCTTGTCGGAAAAAATACGTGGCGAAGAAGACAAACCAGAGTGGCAACAAAAAAAAAGAAATTATCCAGTGTTTCGTAGTTAAGCTACAATCGTCAATTTAGACCATCCAGGTTGTTTTGGCTAGATTTGAGCCATATGAGGTCCGATTTTGATGATCCAATAGTATTTTTCAACTATTTGGAGCATTCTGGACACATCTGTATGGTCATATGTTGCAAATTTCATATCAAAATTTTGCAAATTTTATTTGAAGAGATGAAGTAAGAAAAATATTCTTCGCAGTGGGAGTCAAAGATTACAACAAATTAGGCATCACAAAAAGGTAAGCGATAAAGTAAGAAAAATATTCTTCGAAGCGGGATTCGAAGAATACAACAAAGAAGACATCACAGAAAGGTGATAGAAGACGTCCTAGATATCGTAGATGAGACAAGCAAACATGTGGTTGCTCTAAGACATTGAAGAGAGATGAGTCAACAGACAGTTGACAGAAATGGACAACATGTGGTTGTTCCACAAGATAAACAACAGATGGTTGTTTCTAGAGACAAAGAACAACAGGTGGTTGTTCTAAGAGACATACATCAACAGAGGATTGACAAGAGAGGACAACAGAGGGTTGTTCCACATGGAAAAGGTCCTAAAATAGGACATATTGCGAGGAAGAGATCTTGACAAAGGACATGTACTGCAAGGAAGAGGTCGTGCGCAAGAGAGAAGACGTCAACAGGAGGTTGACAGCACCGAACAACAAGAGGTTGTTCAAAAAGAGATAGAAGTCAATAGAGGAATGATTACAAAGACCAGTGAAGAGGTCAGCAGATATAAGGCATCGTGTACAGAATCCAACAAATTGAGTTTGAGGGGGATATTGGAAGTGCAAACTCAATTTGAGTTTGAAGAAGAAACTACCAGAAGATTAAAGAATAAAGGAGAAGAGTCCAAGTTGACGAAGACTTGAAGTTACTAGAAGATGAGAGAACAAAGAGAAAGCTTCCATGAGGTTGCCATGGTCAAAAGCTTAAGGATGAAGAAACACTGTGCACACACGGTTTGTACATGATTGTGGAGTCTATAAATAAAGAGTTGTGAGATTGTTTTAGATAGAGTGGGAGAAAAATAACATCTCCAAGAGTGAGAGATTTCTAGAGAGTAGAGAGTTTGAGAGTTAACAGAGAGATAACTTTGTTTCGTATAATTTGTTTGAGTTTGAATAAAATGAGTGTTTATTCAATTTATTTCCTCTCTTTATACATCTACACAACTGGTATACACCCCTCTCCCACCTCAACATTTATTACTAGCTGATTGCGGATTGCAGAGTTATTAACGAATGGTTTAGTGGTATGGATAGAGGATGGACAGTTTACCTACCAAGGGTGGAGTGGTGGTAGACTGGTATTGCAATGGACATGGTGGTGGTAGAGGCATCAATAATAGTGATTTTGCCAAGTGAAAAGAGTATGGTGGTTGTTTACCAGAAACAACTTAACTAATCATTTTCATGAATGACATGAGATTTGATCCATGCACTCATTAGATTACTACTTTCAAAAGCTTGTCCTTTTTAACATTGAGCCCCTATATGTTTGTTTGATTTAACAAACAATTTGTGGTGTTTATGTCAACCTTTTAGTTTGAGAAAGGACAAAGCCCTCATGGGCTCATGATAACAAAGCTCTAGTAGATTTTCAACGTCACAATGCACCTAACAGACCCAACACGTGTCCAAAGCTTCATTTTTGGTGACTAAAACAAACAGTTGCCAGCCAGTTTCCAAATTTGATGACCTTCAACCATGTCCTCATTGTGGGAAATTACGACTTTAGATCTTCAAAATTTGACAGACAATGTGGCAACAGCCTCATAAATAGTCTTAGTTGATATGCCATGTTATGTTTTGTTTTTACTGATAAGGGTACTCTTGTCATTTGTATCCTTTATTTGTTTTAATATAAATGTAAGGTAAAGGTACAGGTTAGTCGGATGATCTAAACCTATTCATTTAAGTCTCACTTCTTCCTCTCCTCTTGCACTAACCCTAATTCTCATATACATTCTAACTGGGTAATAGAACTGGAAGGTCTCACAAGACACTGGGGTTCATAATAAGGTGATTCTGTGCACTGATATCATCATCAGTATAATGATTGTCACTCCTTTTGTTCGCTCTCATGATCAGTTAGACGATATTCTCATCAAGATGTTATCTTGTTCTTCATTTAAGCGGTTATCCTCCAAGCTGGGCATGTTTGATTTTTATGCTCCAGCGAGGAGGACTATTAGCGTATTAGTCTTAGTTGATATGTCGTGTTATGTTTTGTTTTACTAATAAAGGTACTCTTGTCGTTTGCATCCTTTATTTGTTTTCATATAAATATGAGGTAAAGGTGTAGGTTAGTCAGACAATCTAAACCTATTCGTTTAAGTCTCGCTTCTTCCTCTCCTCTTGCCCTAACCCTAATTCTCATACTATACATTCTAACTAAATATAAAAGAATAGGACCATCAAATTCAATTATCTTGAATAAAAAATATGTACTCTTAAAATGATTGATTGGAGATTTATAAAAAAAATGGCTAATTATGAAATCAACCAAAATTAACTGAACTATAGGAGCTTCAATCAGGGAGAGAGATAGAGCTACTGTATGGGAGCACACAGTTTATGAAGGTTAGATAAAACCTATATATACATTGACAGATACCCTTCAACATTGCAACACATTGTTTTAATAAAGTCTTATCTGTCATTCTAAATAAAATAATTTTATAGCTTTGAAAGAAGGAATAAAGTAAAATTTTGTAACTCTATTAATGGCACTTTTAACATATTATTTTCTCTTTAGATATAATTATAGTTTCAACCCTTTAGTGTATGAATCTTTATTTCCCGTGCATGATCAATTCAGGAGTTAATAGACAAAATCAGCTAATGTTGAATATGTGCGTCCAAGATGAATTCCTAATTAGGTTTGTTTTCTCTATCTTTTTCCTTTCTATTTCTTTTTTAAATATGTTTTTCAATTGTACATAAGCTGAAAAAGATAGCAAAAAACTGCCAAAATGGATCTTTCAATTAATTCTTTTACCTTGCCGTTTGTTCATGAAAATATCTTCCAGGCTGCTTCTGCCGGAGGACGTGCAGATCTCCACCTGGACAGTACTCCATAACTAAGCATGATAAGTTATCTGATGTAAACTGTACAAATAGCGTTGGGAGAAAAGGATGATCCAGAATTCTCAGTATTTCTCTTTCAGTTTGGGCCCTTGACATCTTCTTTCTCCTAGCCAAAAACTCATTGTCCATGACCTTTATGGCAAATAAGCAGTTCGTTCCAATTAGTTCAGCGAGATATACTGTGCCAATATCTCCAAAACCAAGCTTCTTTAACAGATTGAAATGTCTCAAACCTATGAATCCATCATGTTTCCTAACGTGATGGATGGCTTCCCACCTCAAGTCCTTTGACATGTGAGGTCTGTTGCCACAACTAGACCCAGTTAGGTTGCTCTCCTCACTGATGCTAGTGCTACTACTATACTCTCCAAGGCTACTTTTTGAACTTTGAGAGAAATGTCCCTTTTCCCCAGTTTTTGAGTTCTTGTTAGGTTTTTCAACCATAGCTCTGCTTTTGCTAGAGTTATTTGAAGCAAGCTCTGGTTTACTGGCACCAGAGTTCATATTACTTGAGCTGACCTCAGCACAGACACTTGCACAGTTGGACGCTGGAGGATCTCTATTGGTCTCGTTCCTCATGTTTGTCAAAGTACAATGGCATCTCTGGCAAAGTAATTGGCCATTGGCAAGATCCAAGGGACTAGTAATTTCATTATTGGTATTAGAAGTGGAGCCAGCAGAAGTTGAATCCTTCTTTAAATTATTCTTAACAATCGGTTTGTTCTTGCCTGGCTTGGCCAAATCTGGAGCATTTCTTGTTGACTTGCTTCCCTTGTTGCTCTTGATTGCATTAGATGAAGAAGGTAAAGACTGCAGCCTGCCTTTCTGTCTTAACTTTGTTGCTGGGACCTTGTTCCCTAACCTAGCTGAGGCAGGAATATTACGTAGCTCTGCTGTACCACCAGTACTACGATAAGAAAGAGAAGAAATCCCCAAATGCTTTTCCTCATGCAACAGCTCTGATGGTGTTGAACTTGAAACTTTTGTTGATGTAGATACCTCATTTTTTCTCAATGTTGACCTTGTACTGTTATCTGTTGTTGCCAAAGCAAACCGAGGAGAAGAATTGGCACTTCGATTTGACATTTTCATCCTGGGCACTAGTATGTAATCACCACTATTTTGGCAAGATATAGGACTTGTTGCATGTTTTTTGTCCTGTGCTGATTTTGTCTTCGATGTTTGACTCCAAACTTCTCTTGTTACAGGTGTAATTTCATTCTTCATTAGAGCAGACCCTGCAAATCTTGGAGAAGAATGGGCACTTTGGTTGGATGACTTCATCTTGGGTGCTAACAGGTACTGAGGTATTTTTTCGGAGGATTTTGATGTACTTTCTTTTGGCATGAGAGATATTCCAAGCCCTCCCCTGTTAACTTCATTTAGAGAACCACTAGATTCACCAGCTTCAACTACAACGGACCTGTACAAACTTGCGATCTTACCTGCTTCTGAGACCCTAGGAGAACATGCTGCCTTTGATAACCGTTTCATGGCAGCCATTTCTGATGCCTGGGAAATACATAGCCCCCTTAGTGCCTGCTTCAGCGACACTGGTTCCAAGGAACCAAATCCTGGTGAGCGAGGCAAACCCACCCCAATTGGTTTCTTTAATGCATTTTTCCTTGTGGGGCCTGTGACTGCTTGGTCAGACAAACTCAAAGCCTTGGATGAAGTTTTGATGTTAATTGCCTTAAAAAGGTTATTGATATCATCTTCTAGAGAATCATCAGAACCCAATTTCAGAAAAGGAGACTTTCGACTTTTGTCTTGTGATATTGCTTGATGAATTCCATTGGAATTTTGAACTGAATTCAGCTCTTCCTTTGCTTCTACGATTTCACATATGCCGGAAAATGAACCCATCACTTGGCTACTGGGGGATGATTCAAGGCATAATGGTCGAATACAGCCTTATCAAATCCAAATTATTCCTTTTTTGAGAAACTTATTTTGATGTATAGAATTAGATATAAATGCAGCAGATGCATTCCAGAGCTTTCTTTGATCACACATAAGCAATATTCTTACATAATTTATCAACTCCTTTGAAGACCTTCAATCACTTGACATGCACCATCAAGATCCTGAAATGTCAATGAAGTGCAGATAATGTGAGAAAACCATCTCTTCTCAAACCCACCACCCAATAACAAAATTAAAAGGAAAATCATGCCAAGCCAAGGAAGCATATTTCACGAAAATTCACAACATTGAATTCTCTGATTCATCAAGAACATGAATCTCTTAAGCCAAGGAGGTTGCTCTATAGCATATTAAGAGACTGAATTAATATGTTCCTGATACCAAAATGAGCTTTTGCCCAAAGTTGTCATAGAAGGATGAACGATGAATATTACTGATGTTAGGGGCTCTGGTTATGTCTTGTAATAAACTGACAAAAGGAAAGAAAACGTTGAATAGAATAAGAATGCCAATCTTTTTTTGGTTCTTCAGTTGCATCCAATGAAAAAATTATGATTCAAAGGATAGTTCCTTTACCATCTGACATTTACCAATAATCAGGGTGAGGTAACAGTATTCTAGTTGCACTTTTGCTATAAAAAATAAAAAATAAAAAATAAAATTTCCAACAGTTATTCAAATATGCATTTTGTTATTAGTATGATACATATTTTATTAACTATAGAGCAACCTGGGAAGTTGGTTGCCTTTTTGGCTATTTTAGCTCGGGCTAAAAAGTTTGGTTTTGAAAGGGCTTTTTGGCTTTTTGATTTTTTTAGCTTTTTTTGTGAGAGAATAATTTAATGATTATGGATTGGATGTGATGTTTTGTTTGTTGTGGCTAAAATAGTCTATTTTGTTTTCTGTGGCTAAAATAGCCAAAAAAGCCACAAACTGATCTTCCCAAACGGTGCCTAAATATGCATTCACACAAAAAACGAACATAAATTTGAAACATAAATCCTTCCTTTTGTGATGTAGGACGACATTGACATACAATGAGAAGAAGAAACCCAGATGCAAATCCTACTCAGTTCCAATTCATTGTTGAAGGCAAGAAATGATGATTATGGATTTCTAAAAATCGACCAACCAATAAAACAAACCCAAGTTAAGAAGTTCAAATTACAAGATCAACCATTAAAAAATAAAAATTAAAATAAAAATCAGAAACCCATATTTGGTTGCTCAGGAAAAAGGTGTAAGTTAAGAAGTTCAAATTACAAGATCAACCATTAAAAAATAAAAATAAAAATCAGAAACCCATATTTGGTTGCTCAGGAAAAAAGTGTAGAAAACACAACATATATTATAGTATTGGCAGCTCAGTTTTTTCATCAAATGAGAACCAAGAATCCAAAAACCCCGATCCCACTGCACCTAGACCGAGATTTTCACTTTTCAATACCCAAATTCAAACAATTACAGGAGGCAAAAACTACCCAAATTCACTTTTCAATACCCAAAAAAAAAAAAACAATCGAAAATAGTGAATTCACGAATGGGAATACACTAATCACGGAATCGCTTGAGCATTTATATATATATATATATATATTAAAACAGAAAGCAAAATTAGATCAAGAACATAATTTTCGAAAGAGTTGAACAAACAAAAGTGCAATGACACGAGTTCAAACATAGCACAAAAATCAGAAAGAAAAAAAGAAAAAAGGAGGATATAAAGCAAGTAAAGTGAGAATAGAAACAGGAAAAAGTTACCTCGAAACAGAGCTTTAGATTCAGTGATCTATTTTTGAATTTGAGGCAATGTCGGCTATGGAACTCGAAAACCGTAGGCTGGGGTTTCAGGAACAGTGGTTGATGGAGAGAGAAACAGAGGGAGAGAGATACGAATGTTTCAGTGTTTCTCACTCTATACCCGGTGCGTTTTTCAGTATAGGTACGTGTACGTGTCGACACCGGGGCCCACGGATGGTTGTCGGTCGCGCCTATTTGGGATTCGAATTGATTTTTAGAATTGATAAGATTAGTTCTAAATTTTTTATTTTTTTTAAAATACTAAAAAGTAAATAAAAAAATATTAAAATAAGGTTCAAATATGGGGTAGCGATTTTTAGTGATAAATTCTATTTATGGGTGTTTTAATCCAAGAAGTTTATGAAAGGAAATTTATAATTCACTTAATTTTATGTATTTATATTTTTATTGTATAAGGTCTTTTTTTTTATTGATTTACACCATTTCTTAGACTCTTATATTTTTATATTTAATATTGATATTTATTACACACAAAAATAAAACTGTCATTATGTTTTAGTAGTTATCATATATTAGGATGTTGACTGTCATTATATTTACATTAATTTGAAATAAAATTTTGTTATTGTGTTGTCAATTGGTATTAATATTATTCACACACTCATATAATATTGAATGGTGAATACGTTTTCACTGTGTTCATTACTATTGTGATAAAGGTAATGTTAAGATTCACATCAATATTGTATCAAATTATACAAACACAAGCCTCAATTTTCATTTTGAATACAAATATGATGGGAATGTTCACGCTTAAACATACGAATGTGAATGTTCAGATGAATTCTGGAATATAGATTATTGATGTAAATATCAATATCACGAATAAAACATCAAATAAATTAATTTAGTAACATTAAGCCAATAGTTATGTGTACATAGTGGGTGTTTAGGAAGTAGCTATTTTAGAGGCTTTTTGGCTATTTTAGTAGGCTATTTTAATTTGTGTTTGGAAAGTTGGGTTAAATTTTTTGATTGATTGTTGTATTGAAAAATGTGTTTGAAATGATATTTAAGATTGAAATGACAAATTTGCCCGTAACCTTATTTTTTTCAAAATTGATCTACAAGGGCAAAATGGTTATTTAACCGTTGTAGGAAGGCAGTCATAGGCTCAGCCTACATTGTGTTGGTGACAGTGTAGGTTATCTGTGCGGCCCAGCCATCTTTTTTTTTTTAAATCAATGGGTTAGGCAGCTACTTTGGAGGCTAAAAACTTTTTTCACACTTTGAGGCTAAAATAGCTTGTAGTCACAGTTCCCAAACACCGTCATAATTATCAAACAACATAAATCAATATGAATATTATCATTGACTTTGTAATAGCAAATATTATGGCAACATAATGGCAACATACCATTATATTTTATTAAGCACAATCAAAATAATTAATTATGATTCTTTTGTCAAATGTATTCTAATGTTGACAAAATTGCAAAGAATGTGAGATTCATATTTATCTTTTTCTTGCCAATGTAAAATGTGTCTTTGGATGCCTTGTACATCCCTATCACGTATTCGATGATATCATTAAACTTTATGCATTTGTCGATGTCAACTTTACCAGTCCACAACACATCAAACAACTGCCAAAATGACGTTTCCTTCAAACAATCCAACTGAGGATTTGAGAACTTGGTGCTTGTCATTAGTTTTACCAACCCAATGATGTTAGATCGGTAGTTAACCTTTTTCACGTTCACCTTTTGAAGGGCTAGCTATTTGTTCAAGTTCGTCTTTAACGTGGAACTGTTCTCTTTTTCTTTTGCCATGAAATCTATAAGCAACATCTGTTTGTTCAATTGAAAACAAATTTACTATTAATGGTCGCAAATGGTAAATGATAACAAGGACAAACTATATGTCATGTGAATAGTGAAATAATTATGGTGAATGTGGGTGTGAATAGTCGATGCAAGTATTTACATGGAGACATTACAAAATTATGGATAAACAAGAAGTCAAGTACATGGTGTGAACATTCACGTAATATATGTCCAATATGAATATTCACAGTAACAAATTATAATTTGATTCATATTGAACCAAATAAAGGGGGGGACAATAATTGAGGGTTCTAATTATTTCTTTCCAAATGCACATTAAACCAAAAGATAGTGGGTAATATGATTGTTCACATAAACACATTATTTCACATGATAAAACAACAATGGACAAAGTTAGATACATGGTGTAAATATTCACATAGATTGTTACTCAACAAAAATGATAACCAGATGATGTAAATATTTACATCGTCTGTGTAGAAATTCACATTGAACCAAAAGAGGGAGGAAAATAATCAGAAATTGAGAGGTTCTGATTATTTGATCACTATCAACAATTAACAAGACCAACAAATCCAACATCGATAGAATGGGGAAAATATGGAGTTCATTACAAAACAATAGCAAATGACCAAAAAAAAAAAAAAAACTAATAACAATAACCAGATCATGTAAATGTTTACATCAGTTAGGTACTTGATGTGAATGTTTACATTAGGGGTTACACAATAACAAATATAACCATATGATGTAAAAAGAATTCGCATTGAACCAAAATATGGGGAAAAATAATAAGAAAGTGGGGGGTTCTAATTATTTGATCACCATCAAAAATCAATAAGACCAAAATATGGGGGAGAAAACATAGAAATTGGGGGTTCTAATTATTTGATCACCATCAACAATCAACAACACCAACATTCTGTTGGAAAAAATGGTTTATATAGGCTTATTTTGGGCCGACTTTGAGCCCAAAATTGAGTGGGCCCCGAACGTCTTTTGGGGCGGGTCCGAAGAGGTAAAGTGTTCCTTGCCGCGTAGCAAGTCACACGGTGAAGACGGTTCGTTAAAACCATTTATAAGTGAATGGGAACATGACGTCGTTTTCGGGTTCGTGGAATAGGAAATTTAAGGAAGTAAATGTGGGTTTCCTTGGAAATGGTTGTCCTACATTGAAACTTTAAGAGAGTTTATTTGTGTATATAAGCTATAGCCTACAACACTTTGGTTGGGCCTCAAGGGGCACCACAAATTTGTAGAAGGGAGGAATTATGGACAAAGTGAACCTTAGCTCAAACCAACACACCGTACCGTGGCCGTCCGTCCGGGCGCGGTTGTGGGTCGGGAGTCGGGTCGGTTCTTGTATTAATTTTTTGGACAAAATTCATTTGAATTTTTTCAAAAAAAAAATATTGCAGGAATATAATTCAAATTTGAATTCCAATTTTTTGTCCAACATTTAAATCTCCTCTGTCCGAAATTCCTTACAGAATCTGCCGAACAGATTCAAACAGAAACTGCCCTAGCAATTACAGTTTTAACACGGCAGTTACAGATTCAAACATATGTTGAGATCTGTTTGAATTTAAACTTGTATTTGTTCAATTCAAAACACACATGTTCAATTCAAAATGGTACCTGTTCGGGTTAGCATTTTTTGCCTATAAATACTTGACATTTCCAGCAGTCTAAGGATCCGAAAATCAGTCTGCAAATCCCATCTTTGCTGTCCAGATTTTATTTTGCATTTTTAATCTTCATTCTAGTTTTAGGAAAAGTCAAAAAGAGTATAGAACATAAGGTTTGGTTCGCCATACAAATTAGTTTGGTGTGCTATAACAATTTTGTGAAAATCATTATATCTTGGGAGATAGACGCCACTCAACCGTAAGCACCGTAGCGAGGCGAATCTGTCTTAAGGACAGAGTGTCACACACTCGATTTGGTCTTTGAATTTTCTTCTATTTTGGTTCAATAAATAAATTTGGTACGTTATTTATTTATTTTGTTTGGTTTAGTTTTCATTTATTTTATTTACATAGAAGATTGTTCCAACACATTCAAAGAAGGGGGAAAATAGGGAATTTATTACAAAACAATAGCATATGACAACAAAACATAACAATAATAACTAGGTAATGTAAATGCTTATATCAGTTATTTAGATTCAATCGAAAGGAAAAAAAAAAAAAAAAAACAAAGAGTGGAAGGATGCGTGCTTACATTTGCTTCTCATTGTGGCTAGCCATGAACAAACCATAGTTGGTAATATTGAATCAATGTAAACGTTCGCAATGGTGGATCGAAATGGAATACCAGCACCGGTGACTGTGGGCGATGGTGATGAAGCGATGTAAAACCTAGGGTTAGGGTTTGGGAGTTTTTGCTGCAACAGCGACAGTTTTGGGAAGGAATGATTTGGGGAGTGAAATATGGAACGACGATAGAATATGATCGGTTTTCATTTCAGAATATAATAGGGGCATGAGAGATAGAGGGTGTTTTGGTCTTCTTACCTCAAATAGGACCTAATGGAATAGTAAAAAAGAATATGAGTTAGATGGAATAAAACTCTTAGAAAAAGGATTTATTAAAAAAAGCCCCCTTTAAAAATTGACTCTTTTAGTAAATTTTTTTTATAAAAAGACAATAAATAAATAAATAAATTCAATAATTTATAATGGCTTTTTAATTTTTGAAAAATGATCCGGAACCCTAGTGGGCTGTGATTAGCCAGATTTTTTTTTTCTTTCTTCTCCAATCACCAATCCCCACGTGTGTGTGGGGGTGCTGGGGGCAGTGGGGAAGTGGGGGTCTCAATCAGGTCTTTTAATTTTTTTAGCTAAAAATCAAGATTGCCAAATAAGGTTCATATATCAGTTAATTATATTTCACTAATGTTAGGAAAATTCTATTTCTACACACCTTTTAATCTATGTGCACATCATATCTTAATTTACATATTTATGGATTTGATTATATGTTATTGTTCTTAGGGCAAAGTGCACTTTACCCCTTGTGGTTTGGACCGGGTGCGGTTTATCCCCTGACATTTGGAAATCACCATATAACCCCAACGTGGTTTGTGGATTAAAATGCACACTAACTTCTGTTAACAGAAATTGTAAATTGACAGTTATACCCTTCTCTCTCTCTCTCTCTCTCTCTCTCTCTCTCTTCCTTCTCTTCTTATTCCTCCATACCCACATTTTATACATACATATACATATATACATATCAAACCCAATTTTCTTCATCATATACAAACCCAATTCACATACACAAATCCAGACCGTGGAAGAAAAATG